GAACTTTTTTTTTTTTTTTTTTAATGAGTGCTCCAACACTTAAAAATACACCATATTTTAAGAATTCCAGTGGGGAAAAAAAAGCCCTGAAGGTATCTATCATGCCATAAAGGCCAATAGAGGCATGGCATTTGAAAAACTGTTAGGTGCCTTCTATTTAATCCGTTTGATCTGGTCTTCTTCGTGCCTTTAAAACTGAATCAACAGCAGCTTCTCTGGCATGGGTGGCTTTCCTGCTGTCTCGTTCTCCTAGCACAACTCCAGGAGACAACTCCTGATGCCCTTCTCCTGGAAAATCAAAGTTTTTACACTTTCTTTAGAGCAACTTTGTTCCTCTTACCCTTATAGAATGCATTTTTAATGGTTTAATGACACTGTATTATAAAATACTTTCTAATCTTACGGTAGCTTTCATGGAGATTTTCAAACTGAAATAATAATAATATGTCAGCAGGCTTTTAACTCTTCAAGCACTGCTATATCCTGTGGTATGCAGATTTTTGTTTTCTTTTTACAAGCCAACCACATATGTGAACCATTGACTAAACGTCAGAGTTCTTTATTTATGTTCCATATGTAATGGAGCATTTGCTGAACCTATGGTCACATTATTTCTAAACACATTATATCTTACAACACATAGTTCAAGTCTGTTTAGAGGAAAAGGGAGAGGTACATACTTTGAAGAATGGGATGGCAGAAGTTTGATCTTTGGATTGTAGTTTTTGAGTCTGAATGTGATGAAGATCAAAAAGGAAGAGATTACTGTGGATATTGTGCCAGAAGTCTGGGGGGAGAATTGATGAGAATCTGGACTGTTCTCTCCTGGAAAATTTACATGAATAAAGCCTTTTTAATTTTTCAACTATTTGACGTGTAACTCTGGTGAGTGTTAGATGCCTAAGAACAGTCAAGAAAAAATGTAAACACTTAAATTGAGTTCACTGCTATATCTTCAACTAAGAAGGGAGATAATTAATACCTAAGGAAATTAGTTGCCTTCCACTCTGCAGGCCTTGAAAAACTGAAGAATTGTTACTTAGAAATCTTTCCTAAGACATTTTGTACAATTTTTGAACCATGTTGTCCTATGGGTTTGTTCATTTGTATAGAAAAGGTCATATAAATTAGAATCTGAATACTGAATCTAGATGCAACTACAGCCTACGGTCCCTAATTATTGGACAGAAGCAAAAGTTCTTAGGGGGAAAATACTGCATTTATGCCTGTGTTTCCACTTCAAAAAGAGATGGACACAGCTGTGCAGCTGGAGCAGAAGTGAAACTAGAGAGCTCTTCTGAAGCCTACACATTTTGCATGTTACTTCTCATTAGCTCAAATGGAGAATGATTATGTTCCAGTTTGGCAAATGTTTCTTCCTCTTCTCTTTTAGCTTGAGTGTTTTGGCCATTCCGGTGCTTAGATACAACCGAGATATTATCCACTCCCCACCTTTGCTAGAACACTGCTTCCTTCAAATGGAACATTTATGTCTATTGCTCTTCATTGGCATTTTGAAAAATATACCAGTATATACTTATACCTACACACATGAAAAAATACCAGAAAGCACTTTTTTTTTTCTTTTTTTTTTTAAACTGAAGAAAGTAAAATTTTTTAGCAGGAGTGCCTATACTGGCTTTCTTATCTTCTCCTGAGTAAAACAAAAGCAAAATAAAAGGAAAGAAGTATTATCATATAGTGTATCCCAGGAAAATGCTGTGTGATAATAGCATAGAATGCCATGGCATTAGGATTGACATAGCTTGCCAATGACACATTTTCTGATAGTTATGGTTTCCAAGTATATTTTTAACTTTTTAGGTGAGGACAGAGACATTTAATAAGCTTTTTCAATTACTATAATTTAGCACAATCAGGAAAGAAATTAAAAATGCAGATGCCCCATCCCTGGAAATGTTCAAAACCAGGCAGGATAGAGCTTTAAGCAATCTGGTCTAGTGGAAGGGTGCCCCTGCCCATTGCAGGGGGGTTGGAACTGGATGATCTTTAAGGTCCCTTCAAACCAGGCCATCCTATGATTCTGTAGTGTGTTGGGTACTGTGGAGGCTCTGGAGCCAAAAGCTATCATGGTGTGGAAGGAGGCCACCAGGGTGTAAGGTTTCCCCCCATTTTAAAGTTAACAAGAAAGGCTTTTCCCATAGTGCTTTGCACCTCCATTTTGTTGTACCCCAGTTGCTATACCCGGTTAGCCTGTTGGCTGTCCGTCCTCTTTTTACCTTGTATGTCCCTTCCCTAGAAAGTTCTCCCTTCCCTAGAAAGTTCTCCCTTCCCTGTTTCCCCATTGGCCCCAGTTTGGTGCAATCCTCCGCCCCTGTAATCCCATTGGCTCTCCCTCTCCTTGACCCCTCCTATGCACCACTTTCCCCTGTTTCTATTTGACCCTGACCCTTGGATCCTCCCCCTCAATCCTGTATATATTCCTGGACCCTCCATTACTCCCTGTCTTTGTTCCTGAACCTCTTTGGTGTGTGGTTGGACTAAACCCCACTGGAACTCCGTGCAGAGACCCTTCCTGCCTCTCCGTTAGCGACTGCTATCCATGGTGTGTCTGAGAGGGTGTGAGTGTGTGTCTGTCTGTGTCTGTGTCTGTGTGATTGCAGTCTGCCCAGATGCTGTCTCCTCTGGAGGTGCTTTTGGGAGGTATCATCGCCTTACCATCCACACCCAATGCTCCAGGGTACTAAAAAACAGTCTGTTGCACAAGATTCTGTGATTCTTTTAGATAAATTGTATCATAATCTGTACTAATAACAGACGTGCATAAGGGGGACATACCACTGACCAACTCACATATTTGACACAATATTGTTAGTGAATATTTGAGAAGTTTATTTCCATGACCCTTGAGCTATTTTTTAAAATGAACTGAATAATTTCTCTTGTTGTTAAACATTCTATAGCTCAAGTTTAGACTTCGTTGTGTATCTATTTAAACTGTAGGACAAAAGAAATTCACCATTAACAACAAGCTAAAGTTCAAGTAGAGGGGTTAGACAAGCCCCAGTTTCAGTTTACAACCATGGATAGCAGTAAATTACTGACTCTAGGACCTGGACAAAACCAGACCAGAATTAGCATGAGCTTTCATGGGTTATTTCCTTGGGATTTGTTTTACATCACTTCCCATTTTTTCCTGCATGATTTAAATCATAAATTTAATCATAGTTCATATTGTGATGTTTGACTTCTCCAATATGTAAAAAATACACATCTATATTCTTCTTTGTATTTTATATTGATATTTCAAAAAAACATTTGAATTATGGATGTTGAATAGCAGTATTTCATGCAGCCTGAGGAAAAAGAGGTCTATGCAGACCTGCCTACAAAACCCTACCATAATGAAGTGTTTTTCCATACAGGCAACAAATATATGCTATTATACTGAAAAGCCTGGTCCAGAATGAAAGGGAGAAAATACCTAGAGCTGTATCTAGTTCTTATTCTTTATACGCTAAGAAACCTCTAAGGGATAGATTCATGGCTTGAAAATAGACTTACTAGTGTTTTTCCAAATATTTTCCTTCATACATCCAGTCAAATGTGGTAACTTGGTTAAATTTCTATGATATACACCTCCATATTAAAACATTTACTGTATATTATTACTTCACCCTGGAAAACCATAGCAGAGTTACAATAAAGAAAAAAGTAGAATTTTTCATGTAACTAGCAAGGAACAATATTTTCAGAATGAAGATCCTGTCAAATAGCATACTTGTTCCATCTAGCCTTTGAAGGATCTGGCCCATTAAGTTTTACAAAAATGTATCAGTGTGGATTTGGTAACTGAATTACCCAGGTTTAGAAATTGTCTGTAATTTCAAAATATTTTTTTGTCTGAAAAAACAAATACTTTGTAAAATAGATCTTTGTTGGTAACTTAAAGGGAGATACCTCAGTATGACTTATATTTGTATTATCTTTGGAAAAACGACCTCGTGTACATAAAGGTTAGAACAGTTTTATAATACAAAAAAAAAAAAAAAAAGCAAATGAAACCCATAGCAAAGTGGCAAAGTGGCAGTGGCAAGAGAACATAGTCAGACATTATGACTTGGTAAATTTAGACTAGGCATCAGAAAAGATTTTTAATAGTGGAACTGATTATGCAGAGGTGAGGAGCCTCCATCCATGGATGCTGTCAAGGTTCACTAGACAATGCTACAGCTGACCTAATCTAGGTTTGGATAGATCACCTCCACAGCACTCATTTAAATTTTCTATAGCTGTACTGTTACTGCATTTATGATAATTCTAGGTCTTTCCTGCATAGGTGTGTACTGCTTGTTGTATTTACTTTCCTATTAGAGGCAATGGGAATAAATGACTCTCCAAAATAGTATCACAGAATACTGTGAGTTGGATGGGACCCACAAGGCTCATCAAGTCCAACCCTAAAGTGAAAGGCTTATTTGTGGGTTGAACCCACAAACTTGGCATTATTAACACCACACTCTAACCCACTGAGCTAATCTCACATATGCCTAATTTCTTTCAGCTGCTTAATTTAAGAAGGATTGAACTCTACCCTATATCGACTGCAAATATATCTTAGATTGTGAACTTAGGACCTGATGGTATGTTTATGAAACTTATTCAGTGATTGCTTCAGGTAAATTCCATGAGCAGTCTGGAAGGGGATGGAGCTTTAACTCCATCCTGATGAGAGTTCTTCCTGATGAGTTTCACTCCAATTTTGCTGTAATGTTAACAATATCAGCAACACAATACAGAAATAATACATGTCTCAAAAAAATAAAAATTATATTTCTTTTGTTAGCTGTCTAGCAGCTGGGCTTCTGTGGAAAGTGTCTGGGTTCTTTCCTCAAGGTTAGGATTAATGAGCGGGAGAGAAGCGGTTTTCATATTTGGACTCAGTTGTTTATTTTTTCTTATCTATATTTCATGTTCACAGGCAGTGAGTTTGTCTACATGCTAAGCTAACAGTCTAGAAAATGGAGCCTCAGGTATCTCTTTCCAAGGCTTTTTAAGTTTTTAAGTTAAGTTTTATACCCAATTATAAAATGCCAACTAATTTATTTTTACTTAAAACCCAATAACCAAACACCCATGTTCTGTATTGCGGATTTTTCTATCCAATCACACAATATTAGTAAAATCCATGAAGAAGAAGGTGAAAGAACAAGGGAGGTTAATGCCCTAAACCCTCCATCTTTTTGCATAGATATTACTGCATTCTAAAACCTTAAAGTCCAAATTTTCCACCAAGTGATAAAACACATTTCTGTTTAAACTACACACTCCCAGTTTCAGTTCTGTCTATTATTTTGGAAGCCTTTTCCATGGCCTCAGGTCAAACACAGTGTTCTCTTCTACATCTGTGCCTGTCAGCACAGAAAGCACGAAATTCTCTGTGTCCAGGTTTCCAACAGGTTTCCTACAAACTTTTGAGAAGTTACAGCCCAAGAGGTGAAATAAGAAATAGACTTCAGCCCACTCATTGTCTTTCATATCCTAAACTATATGCATACTTTGATGTGGGTTTCATCTCCATTACTGCCTACCTAAATTGCCAAAACTAACCTACTAGATTTGAAAAGTAAGAAATCAGAAAAACTTGCTTGGTCCTCAGCAGAGATAATAGAACAACATTAATGACTTACTTTTTAGCAAGTAGAAGTATTAAAGGGACTCAATAAAAAAGTTTAAGATAATACCCCCCCCCAATCTTTAACTGAAATATGTTTACCTATTCTACCATCTTACTGACACTCATTTAATTTAGCTTTGCTCCAAGGTACTTATTCTAGACCAGGTTGAATTGCTGTGGTTTATTGTTTGGTTTTCAAAAGTCTGTTTTGTATGTAGAAGCTTTAAAGGCATTGATGACATTGTGCTGCAAGTTAGGCATTTGAATGAACTAACAGTTCACACTTCAGAAGCAGGTTTTCTAGAATAAGCATACAGAGCTATGGCACCAAAAGAAACAATTACGGATATAGCTGGTCACCAGAAACCATGGTAGGTCACTTATATCTGCAAATGAAGGGCACCCAAGTGAAAATATATGACTGAAAAATTTAGGGAAAGGTATTTGGATTCTGTGCCTTCTAGGAGAATAAACAGCATTTTACCTTAGCAACTTAGTTAAAGGTAATGAATCTGAAGATGATGGAACTCTCCTGCTTAAGGGGACAGATTCTGAACCAATACAGCTTAGTTGTGCTTGTTAATATTTAGTTGTTTATTTTTATTACTACTACTAATAGCAAAGGACTGCTGAATTCTTCATGTTCATGTCTTCAGACCATGACAGTCATCTTCAAATACTATCACAATAGGTTGAGATAGGTAATACTGTTTTCAATTGTATTTTGCTTTCCAGTGAGCTTTTTATCCTAAACTTTAATGATCAGGTTGTGCTGGATTATTTAATCAATAGTAACTTTAGGTACCATGGCATGTTCAGAATACTACTAATCTTTACATTATTTTGCTTGGAATGCCATACTTGTACTTCAGTTTCTCTGTGTTCACCTTCCCTTGTATTCCTCTGCATAAAAAAGAGCTAAATAATTACAGAAATGAGTTAATTTATTTCTGCAAGGTAACATCTCTATTGTCTTCTCATTGGGATTTGAGGCAGACTGAGTTAATGAGACATGCATTTCAGTCTTGTTTTTCTCCACCGTATCTAAATGGTAGCTATTATAGATCTGTTTTCTTCCTTTCTTTTTTAGCAGTCACTCCTGTTTGACATATCTTTTAAATTACGCCACTTGTCTTTAGAATTCTCCATGTTGCTGTCAATTTGGAAGCATCATTAATTTTTAAAGTCTTATTTTAACAAGTTTCTTGTTTTTAAAAGAATTAGCTGCATGAGTAATTGATCCAGCTAACATTAATTCCTGCATTCCTTGACATGCTTCTGTTACTGACGGGCTACATTGCATAGGTGTATTTTTTTACTTGATTTGTGTTTTCTTCATCTACTTAAAACTATATATTTTCTAGTCTGTCTAGTGCTCACTGTGATCTAAGAGAATTTGATACAATTTCTTACTTAAAATGATCAGGTGAGAGACTCAAAACTAGCATCTCACACAGAGAAAATTAATTCCTTGGATAGTGAACTAGTCTCGATTGAAACATATTTACTGTCCTTCCTCATTAATCTCCATTTTGTACCAAAAATGTATTAACCAAAGAATGAGAAACAAAATCTCTAGGAACTTCAAGGAAAGAATGGATTGAGTCCTGAAGAAAACTGCAGTAGGTGTTCACAAGAAGTTTTTCATAAATACTAAAATGTATGTCATTTAGATTTCTTTGTACTCGGTAATGTTGAGTTTAACCACTCATTGAAAGCTGTGTTCCTTAAGGTAAAAAAAAGAACTTTCTAAATAACTATACAGTTCCTGATTAGCCAAGATTTAGGTACAACTAATTAGGATAATGGGAGTGTTATGAGGTGGGAAAAGAGTCCCACAAAACTGTGAAGATACACTCAGGAAACAGTGCTGCTGGTTAAAAATTAATATTTAAGAAAATCTGGTTCACATTTTTTATTATGTTTCAGCTTTGTGGCTCTTCAGCAACAAAAGGACTGAAGGCAGAGCTGCAGCTCAGTTTGTTTTTACAAATGCAGCTACCTAAAATTAATGTAATAATTCACACAAGGAAATTCAATCCCTATTCCACTACAAAACTGAACTAAAATCATAGTTTATCATAGTTATCATGCATAGATCTTTGAGTCACTTTACTCATGTCAGCAGTATTTAAATATATAGAGATGACTGTCATGAACATGACCCACATACAGATGATTCAAAAGGCTTATAAAGTTAGATTTTAGGTACATCTTCAAGCATTTTTCCTCTGAGCTATTAGAGTTTATTAGTCTATTTGGAAGAAATCTACTAATTCTCCTGTCTCAGAAGGCTGTGGTGCAAAACCTGTGCTCTAAATAGAATGTTTCCAGTTGAAGAGCATTGCAACATGTACACAAGAGGAAAAATATCCTTTTTCTTTTCCTCTTATTTTATATGGAGCCTGTATGATTAAAGTTACTCACACTACCCAGGGTTACCCAAAACAGGGATCAAGAAATAAACAATCAGATCTTTTTCCACTGACAGAATCAATTTCCCATTTACTTTCTGGAAAACTAATTTTCTTCTACAAATTGCCTTTCAGCAACTACCTTGGCCCACAAGGATTTCTTCTGAGGCCTGCTATTACATGGTTTTAACTTTGTTCCCTGTGTTCTCTGTTTGGGATTTCTGGCTGACATCACAGGCTAACAGCCAAATGAATCAGAATTTCATAAATACTTTGTGCAAGCACAGATATGTGGCTTAGACATCCTGAGATATTTTTTAATCTCTTTTTGCTAGAGATTACTCCACTGATCTTCTGGGGAGTCTGACAGCTCGTTTGGGAATGCTCACTTGTGCTGTAGTTAAAAGAGCTTTCAGGAGGCTGAAGTACCAAGATCTGCTTCAGTGGACAATCAAAACATTTCAAAGGTGAGGGTTTCAGGAGACAATTGTTCTGATACAGAACTAAGGAGTGATGAGACAATTATGAATGTCTGCCCTAATTTTCTGCAGTCTATGAGATGTTTGGTTTCGTCTATGCTTTAAGAAGTTTGTGCTTGGTTGTGCTAAGTTATAGGGGAATTTTATGTCTCGATCTGAGGCTATCAGGTTATCAAACACATAGATTTTTCCCATGGTTAATGTCTTCAAGTCCCTGGATATTTTTTTGTTTAGTTGCTTGGTTTGGTTTGATTTCCTTCCTCTACTTAAATATATCTCACTTTAACTTTTAAAAAATTACTCGATGTTTTTCTCTGGAAGATACTTTGGTACTCAGACCAAATCAGTTTTAAATTTTTTTTTAATTTTTAATTTTTTTTTAACTCCAAGCAAATTGAAAACTGTCTAGAGATTTTTTTCAGCTTTCAAATAACTTGTGTAGTTTTTTTTCATGTCCGTCATGATTTCTTCACCCTTCTCAAATTTACAGACACAAACTCTACACATTCTATTCATATCTTTTGCAAACACTTCGTGAAGTAAGCTGATTGGTCTTGTCTGGTTAATTCCATTCTTCCACTGTATAAACAAGTGTATTTAAAAAAAAAATTATGGCAACATCACAATAAGAACTTATAATCATATATAATGAAAATCACTATTTTCAGAGGTAATTTTTAGAAATAGTGATTTCTAGAATGTTCCCTTGTTTTATAATTCTCATATCTTGTTTACAGATGTATTAATTTTAATTTTATGTAAAATCCTACATCATCTGACTATATTTTCACATTGAAAATTGTTTAATGAAAGCTGTCACTTAATACTACTTGTTTTAATAAATATGGCTTCTTCAGACACATTTTTTTTTACACATCAGCTCAAGAATATTTATCAAGCAGGGAATGAGACCGATTCTTTCCAACTGGACAAGTATATCCTCGTTCCTTACTTCATTACTAATTCCTAAAATGTAAGGAATTACTGGAACAACTTTCTGGTTTGACAGCCCATTACAAGTCATCACTACGAAGTAGGCTGGGTACCTGATTTAAAAAACAGCTCCTACATTAGTGAGCCATGCTTTTATAAGAGATTTTAGGTTCCTAATGGTGAAGACATGAATTTACTTGTTTTTTCAAAAATCTTTGGCACCATTTAGTTCCTCTTTTTTTAATGTTTTACCAATCTAGATTTAAGTAAGAAAAACTTGCTTAAATGCTATCTATTCACATGGTTTGAAAAGGATTTATTTATCGTCACTTGGCTTAAGTCCATCATTCTGATTTCTTCATTTCTAATAACTCAGTGGATAGCATGCTATTGGGAAGACCCCCCAGAAGGAAATGTCATCTTCCTATCATTCTAGTTTTGGATGTGGTTTTCATATATATGACTTCATATGAAAAATAACAAAACTATTTTGAAAATTAACACACTGTAATGTCTAAAAATAACTGTATTTTCAGCACTTTTAAATCCGCTAAAAAAAGATGCAGAAAAAGATATTGTTCCTCTTGGGACAAGTGAAGCGTTAATATCCAACTGTGAACTATTGTGGATCTTTGTGATGCATCTGTGCATAGACTGCTAAAGTATCAAATTTCTATATGTTTTTTCAATGTTCTAAGTGCTTCTATCAAACTTCGTGATTGCAGTTTCTCAAAAAACTCAGAAGCCCTCCTACTTGCTTATCTTAAAGCCTCTATCTTAAATCTTGTCTGATGTGCTTTTTGTGTTACAAAGGGAGCGTGAAAATAGATTTGTTCAGGGCCTGTGGAGTTGCCCCAGTTGTAATAGTCTATATTGCTACACTAATATTTTTGCCATCGTTTTCCAACTTTGTAACAACACTCGGAAGAAGGAAGAGTCCATTTTCCATGACAAGTTTGTTGGAGAAATCATCTGCCATAATTTTGGATCTCATTAAGTCAACAAAGTTATGAAAAGGCTGCAAGTGAAATGTTGCTGATAAAATTTATGCCTTGGTTTTCTAGTGCTGCCAAGGGTAACCAATCACCAGTCATGGGTTGGAGGATGAGGGCAGTGACCTCTTGGCACCAGGGCTGTCCCACCTTCTGGCTTCCACCTCGGAGCAGACCCCATCCCTCCTCTTCTCCGCTAGTTTATATTTATGCTGTTGCTGTCACCTGTATTAATAAACACAAAAACCAGTGAAAAATGCTTTGTTCTACGATCAAATGTATTTCAGTGTACAGAATTGGATTTCTACATCTATTATAATAAAAATACTTAAAAATTACCTAGAACATTCTATTATTTTGCAATCATGACATCTTGAAACAAACTAAACAAGCACAAACACTCTACATTTCTTTAAATGAATGTATTTCTTTGCAATTCTCAATGTTTTCATCTTACATTAATATAAAAATAATATAATATTCCTTTTGTAGAAAAATGTATGCTTCTAAAAGGCTGTGCATTGCACGTAATGCAATTAAACCTAATTTTAATGCCCACAGAAGGTGCATCACATTGTTAAGCAGACTTTTTGTCATTTGAACTGAGCACACTGCTGTGGAGAGCAGTGACTTTGTGAGGTAGCAAGGACAGTCAAAAGCTCAGTAAAAGCAGTCAGAGCAAATCATACATATTCTAGAGTGATAGCAGCCAAGGACTGTGTGGATCCTCTTCATTTCAAAACAGTGTAGTTAGAGGGGACTTAATTCTGAAAAGTTTTATTTGCTGTCATTTGCAAGAGAATGAGTAGGTTGCAAGCTCTTTATCACTCATCTATAGCTATAGCCATTTGAAAACAAATAATGTTAAATGTGCCTTGTTTAAATGGTTCTACTACCTCTGTCTTAATTGTAAATATTATTTATGGAAATGACCCAATGTTCCCTAAATTCTGTTTTAACAGACTACTTGCTCACTAGTTCAAGATAGTGCTTTTCCTGTAACACTTCTGCAAATAGATTTAGTTTCTCTTTTAATCTGCCGTTTCTGTGTTCTCTCTTCTTTTCCATGTACACTCATGGATCTATTACTTTGCTCCTGCTCAGAACTTTCAGCATTCTACTTCTGATCTCAGGCTTAAAAACATTTTTAAATACCATACCCAGAACTATACTGCCCCAAGGGTTTGTCTTCTCTACAGCTAGTAAATAATAGTTTATATTTTTTATCTGTGAATAAATCAGGTTTATACTCTGCATTCTGGAATCTACATTCAAAACAGGGAGAATTATTTTTGGAAAGCTTGAAAAAAATGGAAGAGCTCTTGAGTGATCCAATTCATGGCAGCCACTGAACTATTTCTGAAATACTCCAGATTTAGGGAAGCTCAAAGATACTGAAATGAATCTTCATCTCTCTCCATTGCTTGTGTTCTCTCATAAAAAGCAGCAAAGAAAACCTTATTCAAGAGCAAACATAGTTTCTGAATAGACTAGAAAGTGCTGTGAATAAAACTGTTTGTGACAGAGATGGGCTTGAAGCCCAAAACATGGAAAGAATATTTGATCTATACATTTTATAACACAAAAGCAAGGACTGAAATCCTACCCTACTGAAGGCAATGTCAAAACTCCCATTTTCTTTTAATAGCCAGGTTTTTACATGAAAGATTTTTAAGGAGGGAAAAATTACATGTTTAGGTTCTCTTTTGGGGGCTGTTCTAAACTACTGCCTGTAATTTCCCAGCAACATTTTTAACTTAAGTCCTCACTGCAAGGTTAACATTTGAATCCAAGAAGGCAGGGGTTTGTTCAGTTTGCATTTGATTTTGTCTCTTTTGCATTTTGTCTTTTAAAGACAGACCAGCATTCTGAAGAGCTTTATATGCACTTAGCATTTTGAGGTAAAAACTGTGGGTTTTTTTAATGGTTCTGACTCATTTCTGACAACAGAGTGTCTCTACTCTCATTTCAGCATCAAGCTCTTCCAGAGTCCATGCTTTCAGCTTCATCTTTATCTGCATGGAGGAAGCTGGTGACCATTTCAATGAGTAATTTTCTGTTTAAGGACTAGGAAAGATGCAGAAGCAGTTCTTGAAATATTTTTCTTTCCTTAGCTCCTGCTGCTCTACGGTGGTTGTTATCTGTTGCTGTCACAGATGCATGAGAACATGAATGTCAGGCTGCCGGAAACAGGCACCTCTAGAAAAAACATACTTGGTCAAAAAAATTCTCTCAGTTATACAGCCACATTAGACCATTTATTCTAATCTTTAATTTCTCTAATTTCTTTTCTTATCCCTAGTACAAAAATTGCAGAATAAAGCCAAGACATTTATCAGCATGCTGTCATTTTGTACTCTATATTCCTAAATCCATAGAATTGAATATTAAAAGAAGAGTAATAACTGCACTGGAATTCTGTCCTATGAAAGAGACATCATGCAGGCACTGTTAAAAAGCAGTGGCTTTACCCAGTGTGGCACACATTGAGTGGGATGCATGAGAACTGGCATCCTCTATAAACATTTCAGCCTTTATGTTTCAGAAGAATTTTCTCCAAGTCTACAACATGCACCGAAACATTTTTCACCACTTTATCGTGTCATTTTATTTCTCTTTATGTTCTCTAGATAGAACTTAATGTTTTATACTTGATGCATAGTCTCCTTAATACCTTTCTTTGAATGACATAAGAGTCTGACACCTTCCTTTTTAAATGTTTATCTGCTTGTTTGAACTTTGTCATCTACTTAGTAGCCAGTAGAAATTTTCTTTTATTGCTCATTTTATGAACAGAGATGACAAACAGTTTTAAATTGCTGTGCTGTTTGTTGTATCTCAACAAGTACAACACAAAGACTTGAGCATAAAATAAAAGCTTGACAAAAGAATAAGCAATCCATACTTCTGCCATTTTTGCTATAATTATTCAAATGAATTGACTTGGTCTTTTAATTTAGTTAATTCAGGGTTGTTATTTTTCTTTCACGGTGAACAAATTCCATGGTTATTTACTAATGCAATACACTGTAAACACAAAAAGGAGAAAATGGCATTAAAATAGCACTGTGTACCACTTTGTAAGTAAAATACATCTGAATTAGACACCTTTGAAAGTTAACACTTGTGTATCATAATTTCCCCAGAAAGCATCTGGGAAGGTAACATAAAAGCTCCTGAAAAGCTACACAAAAACAAACCTAAGTGAAGGAGACACCTGAAACCTATAGTAAATTCTTCTTTTTTGTGAAGTCAACAAGCGTCTCCAATTACACTTTCCCGGTGTGCTTATATATGTTGTCTGTTGTTCTGTAATTTCCTCACATTAACCAAAACTCCAGAAAAACAGGAGTAGAACTTTGCTTCAACACCCTGTTGTTGCACCACGAAGACGAGGTTAAATAGAATAATGTTCCTGTTTTAAATTTTCAGAATAACATGATTTCTTTTTAGAAAGCTTGTATGAGGAGGGTCAGTCTCACTGTGTGTTGACACAGAATACTTTTTAGAGAAGAAAGCCAAAAGCTGATATTTATACATTTATTGTTTTAGATCCTGAGAACTTAATGGAACAATCACATAAAACATCTGATAAATGTGTCGCTAAGGAGGTAATTCAAGGAAGGGAAGCAATAAGTCAAACCCATTCCACTACAAATAATCTAGCAAAATAGACCACTAAACAACTGGGTTCATGTGCAGATGAAAAGTGACAGAGAGAAGAAGATATCATGGAGATGAGATGTATCCCTCAGTGATTCTGCCCTCTTGCCCATCCACATTTTTTCTGCCCTTTCCTGTGGAACGTAAGAGGGTAGAAGGATGGAAAACAACTCCATGCTTAGCTGGCTCTTCTCCCAAGGTTAGTAGAATATGCTTGGGAACTTGGAGGCTTTGAGCTGCTCTAAGATGCCCTCTTTTGCTCTGGTTAGGAGCAGCCTGAGACAAATCAATGAGCTTTGCATCAATCCTGAATTAGTTATGATTGTGGATACCACACTGAGGACCCCTGTGCCTCAAACAACTTAAATATGAAAGTAAATATCCATATGTATTACATATTTACATGAAAGATATGAAATACATAAAATGCATATATATTGAAAATACATGAATTTAAGTTAAATATATTCATATTAGTGTTTTTCATATTTATAGGCAAATATGTGGTTCTTACAAGTGTGTGTACTGGACTGCAGACATTCACCTCTGTGAAATGTTGCCACTTAGGGCAATTTAATTTAGTTTATCTCTGCACAGGTAAAGCATTGGTAATAATATTCATGATAATTAGCCTTATCTTCTTTAAATTTTGCTGTTGATCTGTAGGGAGAAACATTCTTAAAAGCTTAAATTCAAATGCTTCCTTTCTGGTTTTCATTGCATTTTAAATTAACCACTATTTAGTCTCTAAGTCTCTAAATATTTTATTAGGAAAAAATAAAAATTAAAAATCCCCATATTTTATTTTTAAAACTACTTCCAGATCAAAAGAGATGATCAGAGATGGCTCTTTAGCTCTGAAATTACCTCCAGGCCATCAATATGAAAGAACATCTTTCAGTGATTCGGGTCCAAATTCACCTCCCCTGCATTAGTCAGCCAAAAACCAGATATATGGCTCCCCAAATTAGCCACTGCCTTTAAGTAGCAAAGAAACACCCCAATGCCAGGTACATAAGTTCCCCATTATGTCCCATACAGCAGTACTTGATATATTAAGCAATCATCTTGAATAATTCATCTCCCTTTTGTCTTGACCTGGGCAGCTAGAGAACCTGAAGGTTGCAAGTTGCTCTCATGCCAGGCCCACAAGGTGTTCTTTTCCTGCCCATCCATGCTTCTTTACAGCAATTCAAACCTTTGTCCCAGCCATCACAGCTCTCTTTGCAAGGACAATTATTTGTTTTCTAATCAGAGGAGTGGAAAAGGATTGGTTTTTTTAAGTGCAGAGAGCAAGGAATGACACATACTGAGATATTTCCCACACCTACAAAATCATGTTCCTAAACACACTTCTTTTACAGTTACTCTTTTCACTCCTGAATTTGCATCAAGTATTTGAAACAGCCCCACATTTGGATAGTAGGAGAATTATAGTATTAAATATTTGTCGTGTGTTTGCTACATGAAAACTTTAATGAAGGGATGGTTCTGCAGAAAGCGAAAAGCTATTGGGAGGTTACAAGGTCAGCAGCACCCTGCAGCTTCCTGGGTTTTTAGGCAGGAGCCACGTTCTGCTCTCCACACTCCTCAGATCC